AAAACCTTTATGAGATATCACACTTAGATAAAATAAGGGGTTAGCAGTAGAGATTTCGGATTTCTTAAAGGGATTTGGATTGGATTTGAGAGATTTGCTAAGCTTGTGATGATTATACTGAAATTTGATCTTGTGTTGACTCTGTGGTGTGTGCATTCGAAAGTGTTAACTAATGTGGTGTTCCTGATGTTTAGCTAACTGTTTCTGTTTTCAAACCTCGACCATGTTCTTTGTCTGATGTTTGCTTGAGGGCAAGCAAAAGCTAAGTCTGGGGGAGTTGATATATCATGGTTTCTATGGTTTTTAATCATGATATAAGTCATTTTTATTGAATCAATTTGGTCTTTTTAGAGTCCTAGTAGAGTCTTTGCAGGTTATAGCATGTCTGGAGCATAATTGGAGATATTGAAGCTTTTTGGAGCATTGCAAGATGAAGCCACGAAGTGTGCAACTCGGGAAGAAAAGTATGGATTTGGGTGACGCTCGTCACCACTTATGGTGACGCTCGTCACCCATAGAGGAAGGGTCGTGGCCTGGTTTTTAAAAGATTGGAAAGAATTTGCAGTTTTGGCCCAGAAGTACTAGTATTTTCAAAAAGGCCCCAGATCGTGTTTTAGCTTGTATATTAGGTTTTCAGCCATTCTTTTGGCAGATATCTTGTATCTTATTCTTTTTTAGAGCTTTAGAGAGAGATTTGTAGTAGAGCTTTTGCAGAGACAAATCAGATTCTTTCAGAGCAGATTTCGAACTCCTTTATTTATATTTCTTATTTCTTTTATGCAATCTATTCTTTTCATGATGTTTGTTTCATTCACCATGTCTGAGTAGTTTGTTAGTTAAGTTAGGGCTTTTCAAAGGTTGAAGAAGAGTATGTAGAATTGCTAAACTTATAGGAAATCCATTGGTTCTTCATATGTGCTTGTATTCATATCGATTTCTTAGACACATCATCTGGATTTCTAAACCTTAGGTTGTTTGATAGATGTGAGAGCATTATTAATCACCTGAACTAGTATTAGATGAGCAAAACGCCCTAGTGCAAAGAGATTTGGCTTATGAGTTTTGTGAACAATTGAACCTGATCATTACTGCATGTTTAGGTTGTTAGGGTTTGCAAAGAGATTTGAAACTTTGTGACTTAAGCATAGTTAACTTCTGCAATGATAATTGATTAGTTATATCTTTTTGATTCATGTTCAAGAAGGTTTTAATTCATTCCTGATTGCATGCATTTTACACTCTCGGATTCAACCTGCGAATTGTCCTGACTTAGCACCTTTAGCTTTCTGAACTTTAAGAACAATCCCAAAAACGCCCACATACATTTATTTTGCTGTTTCGCATTACATTCATTACTTATTGATTAGCTTAATCTGAACCTGAACTCTTTAGTGTAGTTTACTTGCTCCCTTGGGATTCAATAACCCTTTATACTACGATTACATTGATGTGCACTTGCAGTTGGGTAAAACCTGAGCCCTATCAGTGAGGAAATGAGTTAGGTTGCAAATGGGCTTGGAAAACATCTTTTAATAGCTGCCCTATGAGCGACAAGGTGTGGCTCAGCAGGAGGGGGTCCTTGGGGGCGGCAGCTGGTCATCAGGACTATGTGCTGCTTGATGGGCCTTCTTGCTTACCTTGTAACTTGAGATCCAACTGTGTGATTGTATTCAAATCAATTCAGCGTGAAAGGTAACAGTTCATGCTATCTTGTTGCCAACATATAGCTTGATCTCGTGGTGGGAATGTCTCCATTTGAAGCTAGACTTGTGCTATCTCTCACTGATTGCTGGAATGTTCCAATTTGCTCCATTATGCATCTTTTTTGTTAAGTTTTCCTGAAAGAGTCTTGATCATACAAATACTCGAATTCTAGTGTTTATGCATTAAAACCTTAGTGTAAAACTTGAATAAACATCTACTTATGATATTAAAAATGAGTAAAATATAAGTGTTATCAATGCTAAAGGCAAAAGATGGATCATAATCATGCTTCAGGAGATCTTTGTGCCTGAGGATATTCTCACAATCCTGAAACAATCTCCAGCGGTCCTTACTGGCGATTTTTGGAGCTGGCAATTCAACAGGAGTGGTGAAACCTGTGTATTGGATGATCTTTAGTATTGAGATTCTTGTTTGACAAGAGATAATGCTACCATCTCTAAATTGCCTCATTGAAAAGATCTGGGCAATCAAGACATTGCCAAAAATAAAATAAAAAGTTCATTTGGAGGATGCTTAGTAGTGCGATTCTGGTGGTTGATGCCATTACAAAATACGGCATGGGGGTTGACTCGAGGTGTCAACTATGTGGCCATAAGGATTGACTCGAGGTGTTAATTATGTGGCCATGAGGGTGTTTCAATGCGTCCTTGCGAGACAAGTTTGGGCTATATCCCACTTTGCTTCTCCAAAGTTAGGGTTTGATAATTCCTCCACATATCCCAAATTTTACCATCCTCTCTCCATCAAAAGTTATAGTCTTATTCCAACAGAAATTAAGATATGCTTCTCCTAGGTATTGGGGATACATATGGAAAAACAGAAACTTTTTCTGTTTGAAGGGAAACTCTTCTCACCGGTGGAGACTATGGAGAAGGTTTTACAGGGAAACTAAGTAGGGATTATTGGTTCTTGTATTTTGGTGGATTTATAAATCTTCTTTGAATTTGATAAATTTATTGATTTCAAAATCAGCAAAATGAAAAAAAATCAAATCCACTCAAATACCAAGGTTAAACCTTGTATTTGGATCTTTGTATTTTAGTCATAAAAATCCTTCCAAATCCATTCAAATTCAATTAAAACTCAAATCCTTATAATATTTAGATTCTAAAATGATAGAACCAATAACACTGTATTTCATTATGGATTTTAAAATCATAGAACCAATAACACTGTGTTTCAATATAAATTTTAAAATACAAGAACCAATAACACTGAATTTGGTTTGGATTCTCAAATCCATTGAAATACAAGAACCAATAACACCTAATTGTTATTTTTTTGCTCAGTCTATCTCAGTAAATGTAAAAAACATAAAATCCAATACAGAATGGCAGTTCCTGTGGAGACTATTCGGTGGAGATCTCCACCTGAATTGTGGTTAAAATGTGACAAGGAGCAATTTGGTCAAAGTAAAAAAAAAAAAGATGGGAGGAATGTCATGGGTTATCAGAGATTTGGAGGGACGAGTTTTGCTTCATAGCCGTCAGGCTTCCGAAGGTGTTGAGAGTTTGGATGATTGTTATTTCTTGAGTTTGGTATGGGTTTTGAAAGCATGCAAAGTTATAAAGTGACAATGGTGGTTTTTTTATTGGAGTCGGCTACCTTAGCGAATGTCGTGAACTAACCTATAGTGTGGCCTTCCTTTGCGTTTCAGGTATCTGAAATTATTCTAATGCTAACTAAATTTTTGGAATATAAACTGGTAATGGAAGTGTCCAGATCAATTAGAAGGACTCGTTTCATTGCTAATAGTGTGACGATGGAGATAGAATTGCAGATGTATGTTACGTCTGGTGGTCCGCATTGGCTTCAGAATGTTTTTGATGATGAGAGAGTTCAACCCTTTAATTAACAGTTTCTGATTTGATAATTAGTTGGTGGGTGTATAAATGTATCGTGAGCCTCTATTTTCCCTATCTTAGTAGGGTATTTTGTTGACAAGGTTTGGCCCGCTGTTATCGTTTATAATTTATAAATGCTGTAAACTGGAACCATTTAAAGTTTAATGTCGTTCAGATGACAAAAAAAAAAAAATTATGTGGTTTTATATACGACAATTTTTATAATTACATTGAAAACAAGTTTTTATGATAAATATAACAGGAAAACTAAAACTTTTTCACTCCTAATATTTTTATTTGAGTTTTTTGATTTTGCCATTTAGGAAGATTTTCCTGAATTTTTTTTTTCTGTTAATGTTTCGTGATTTTTCAGGAACGTATTCCAAATACTAGAATTTAATATCGTTTTATATGATTTAAAAAAGTTTTTCTAAATTTTTTTAAAATTTCTGAATTGTGGAAAGGCTTCATGAATTGTGGAAGAATTTCATAAATTGTGGAAATGCTTCTTTGAAGGATTTTCTGAATTTGAGTTGTATAAATTAACAAAAAAAAAAATCAATTATACGATTTATAAAAACTTTCATAAATACATGTAATGGCTTCCTTAATTTATACGTTTTAGGAAAATCTTACTAAATGTAGGAAGTATCTTCCTAAATTTATACTTATCTCCTTCCTCATCTCTGCTATACCCAAATTCTAATTTTTGCCGATTTTGTTTTCCGTCATTGTTGTTGTTTTAGCTTCGATTTCTTTAGTTTTTTACCTAATTATGTCAGATCTGATAATTTAGGTCCTCCAAAATGCTTCTGATGTCTCTTCATCCGCCTCTTCAACCAGCGACACTGCCGCAAACCTTCTCCCGACAATGCTGCCGCTTTTGGCGTCTCTTCCTCCGCCTCCTCCAAGAGACTTCCGACGTTACTTCTTCTGCCTTCTCATCTAGTTATAAATTTTTTAGAAGGACAATTTGATCAACTCTGATGAAAAATATTATAAAAAGAAATATATATTAGGAACAAAAACTTAAATTATATGTATTTAAGGAATTTTTCTTTTATATAATAGTTGTTATACTTTTAATATGTTACAGTTGCACATCTTAATTTTTAATTTACATTACATGCCCGTTTTAATCATAAGTTTCTCATTATTTTGATAAATAATTATACTATTTGCTTATTACAAAGAATTTAAATAATCTAGATTTGTCAAAATTTAAGTTCCAGCATCTACAACATCTATCACCTACGCTATGCTGATTCAATCTCTCTATAAATGTATCTATTTTTATATTTATTCTTATGAGATTATTAACAGTACTGCTTCCAATTCTCATTCTTATGAGAGTATTAACAATAATTCATTCAGACTCTCGTCAAGTTATCAAGTTATATATCTCAAAATACGGTCATCTAAATTCATGTACAAAATATGGCCATGTCAATTCATGTACAAAATACCATTTCAATGACGAGTACGCCTTCTGAACAAAGAAGCATTATAAATCAAGGAAAATAATTTTTGACTATTTCAATGTTTCACAAACAACAAAAGCTCAAATTAACTTTAAAGATTATAAAATCCATAATTACTCCCTCAAATAGATATACCACCAACACACAGCTGTTTCATCAAACCCCAAGTCCTCACACAATACACATACCTCTTTATTACACGACAACACATTCCACAAACATAACACAACACACTTCAATTAACACACACCATTCATCTTCTTCCTATCCTTCACAAACTTCCTCCACCCAACAATAACTTCCATCAGCTTCTCCCTCTCCATCTTCTTCCCTTTCACATTTCCAAAATCCTCTGATCCCATCTTCCTGGAAATCTTGGAAGGCAAGGTATCTAGCTCATGAAGCACCTTCACAATATCCGCAACAAGCCTCTCCGCAAGTGTTCTTGAGAAATCTTCCCTAATGACAACACGGAGAACCGTGATGTGTTGTGCATCCGCAGGCATAGTGTAAGCCGGGACAATCCAGCCAAAACGACGTAGCATCTCAGAGATCTCAAACTCGTTGTGGAAACTATGGTCCTTGAGAGAGAACGCTACGACTGGCACTCCTATGTCCTTTGAGACTATGTTGAAACGCTCTGTTTTCTCTATACCTTCTTTGAGAACCATCATGTTCTCTCTGCAGTTCTCCATCACATTCTTGTAACCCTATTCATATTAAACACATCCGATTACACATCAACTGTCAAACATATATATGTATATATATACAAAGCACATGACAAGAATCAGCAAGAAATGAAAGAAAATAGAACTAATATTCAATATTATTTGTAAAGAAATTTACCTATTCATATCTACCTTACATTATAAATGTTGTTTTCGTATTTTTTTTGACACGTTAATACAAACTTTATATCTATTTAGTATAAAATTTTGAACTAGAGATAATATTTGCAACTAGAGTGTCCAATTCGAGTTTATCTGATACGAATCTACTCGAACCGAAATTGTTTAGGAACATTGCGTTGAACATCGTGATTAGGAACATCGGTAACTATATTTGATAAAACAAAAAAAAAAATCTAAACAAAACGATAAATATCGTGATTAGGAACATTGCGTATAGAATTTTCTGTGAAAATTTAAATCGACTTTTTTAAAACCAAGATATAAAAAAAAAAAAATCCCCAATAGCTATATAACACTTACACTAAGTAGACTTTTTTAAGTTTAATTTTGTTTACCCAAAAAATACACAGACATTAAGATCATATTTTTCGGTTTCAATAGACTCACCTCGAATCCAAGACGAATAAGCTGGTAGTATTGAGCAATAATTTGACTCGATCCTACAAACAACCAACAAGATTTAATCACACTTTATATATAACATCATATGTTCAAAGATTAGGGAACAAGAAAATAGAAAAGATACATACCCTTAGAGAAATTGAGAGTGAAAGTGGGTTGATCAGCACCAAGATAGTTAATATGAAAGATGAGCTCATCAGGCAAATCCGCTTGTGTCCTCCACACGACCCAACCAATACCAGCATAGACCAGTCCATACTTATGACCACTCACATTGATACTCTTCACCAAAGGAAGCCTAAAGTCCCACTCAAGTTCAGGGTAGATAAACGGAGCTATGAAACCTCCACTTGCCGCGTCAACGTGGATCGGTGTGTTCCAACCAGTCTCTTCATTTTTCTTGACAAGCAAGTCGTTAAGACGCTTGACGTCTTCGAACTCACCGTTGAGGGTGGACCCGAGAATGGCAGCGACACAGATTGTGTTCTCATCTACCATTTCTGCTGCTTTTTCTGGGTCCATCACATAGTAACCTTCACTTAGTTTCACTTCTTTGAGCTCCACCTCAAAGTACCTAGCAAATTTCTCCCAGCACACCTGATCAAAGTTTCAATTGTGCTAATCAGACTTCTATAATTGAGTTATTATATGCTTTTACTCAATATCCCAAAAAATTGAGGGGTGTTATTATAACATTTTCAAATCGAACCAAACCGGAATAATTCAATCCAAAAATCGGGTTAGACCTTCTTAGAATTAGAATGGCTTTTTATCTTAACTAGAACATAAAGAGAATGAACCAGAACTTAAATCCTATCTGAAAATAATGGTTTGCTTGATTATAATCCGAATTGATACGAAACCAAAACCATGATTCATATTAATTATACTTAAACTACGAAGACAGTGCCAAATACAACTTATGAATCAAACTAGATATATGGAAATTTGTGTTTAGGAAAATGTTAGATTTGACTAATAGCCAGTTTAATTGTAATTATACTTAACAACAAAAGATATGCATACTCACTTGAACATTGGCTCCGGTGACAATGTTGGGTTTGTCATAGGGTTTACCCTCGGCTTTGCGTTTGTTCTGCCAATTCCTTTTGAAGGCCAATCCGGCTAACATGATAGCTTCCGAAGACCCCACTGTCCCTACTCCCACAGCTGTCTCAGTTTCCTCAAGCGGCGCATTGAATAGTCGAGCTATTATGTTTACACATCGGTTCTGTTTTATCACCAATAACAAATTATGATTTATTTGCACAATTTGTGTAGCCAACAACAATATCAATCACTCATCATTAGTTTCTTCAATTTGAATTCAGAAAAAAATGTCTCATGCTACAAAATACAAGATGTATTATAACTAAAGGTCCAACTAATGGATCGACTTCAACGTATAACAAATGAAATTTCATGCACATTACTTTGTCACATGTGAAATTGGTAATTCAACATACACGGAATTATTTTTAATTTGTTAATGTTTATCTCTTTACAAGCTCAGTTTGTTCTAGGGTAAAACTAATTAAATTCTTAACAACAGCAAGAACTTTTTGTTGTTCAAAACAACATCAAGAACAGACTCATTAAACCATGACTTATGAACATTATATAAATAGTCATATAAATATAACAACAGAAAAAGTAATACGATGACCTATCAAAGCGTCTTTAGACTTGTTTTATCAACTAATTGAAAGCCAAATTTGACAAAAAAACCCTATTATTAAGGGGATATATAACAACATATTATTCGCGAATAATATTTTACTATGATTCGTATTCACACCAAGGCACACGGTAATGTCACCATCACCTTTCCATTTTGAGAATAAACCGAGTACAACTTTATGGTAATATTATCTAAGTTTCACATGAACGAATCAATGTGACTATTGACCTCGCAACCACGGGATTTCAATGGTGAGTGGGCTCCTCCTAGGTTCATCACAACTGTTTATATACCCCTTTTTGTAAAATTATTTACTACTATCTCTCTTTTTTCCAATCCTCTATTTCTTTTTGTCAAATGTATTGTTTTCTCAAATCTTATGTCGAATATATGATTTATAAACAAAATATATAACAGGTACCACCTATTCGTTACGTCCATCATAGTTTTGCCTTACTCTGTTTCACTTTTCCTCAACTATACTCAATCAAATGATACCACTCAGCGAGAAGAATAATTGAGTCGAATTTGTTTATTATTTTAAAAATGAATAAAATGAATTGAGTGGACCAATCAAAATCAAAAGAAATTATGTGGTGATGTGTGAAACAATGAGAGGTTGCCGACAGAACTTTATCTTTCAGCTCTTCAATTATAATTCTTTACCATCCTTTTCTCCCATACCTTAGATTCTCGAAGATTTATATGTTTTTAAAACTTCAATCATACGGTTTTTTTTACTTGATTGAGTCATTTCAAATAGGGTAAATAAAAAACCGGATTATATATTAGATTGGTTTAACAAAAGCTGAAGGTGATACTTTTCTAAGTTCCAAATCAAATGGGCCACTAGTATTGATGACAAGTTGTTATTAGTCAACAACATAGTTATTTATGCTTAAGAGGACAACGAACAGAGTTAGTAAAGGCCACTAGTCTAAAAACTTGGAAATGTCGACCACTAAAAGCTAAAATCGTATGGGTATTGAAAGAGAAAAAAAAAAGGAAGGAACGATAGAAAAATCATGAATAATGTAAATTTGTCTCTTCCTATAGTGTTAAGGAATAATAAATGTAGGACTAAGACTAATTATAAAATGTGAATATGAGTTTATCAAAACAACATTTTTCTCTTTCACCAAACGCAAATGTAATTCTTCTTTATTATTTACTTTTTGGATATCTACATTTCCAAACTAAACTAATCTAACAAAACTTGAAGTTATATAATTAAATCAAAATGATCATATAATTTGTTGTCTCCATTGCACAATTGTAACCATTCTAAACCAAATTTTGAGTCGATTTCAGATTAGGTTGATGTTATACCAGAAACTAAAACGAGATCTAGCTAGCATCAATCATTAATTCTTGTTGATGGAGTAGATAAAAATATAAAAAGATCAAGGGATCGAGATACCTGGAGCTCAGTGGTGACAGGGTACTCGTCCATGTCTACGTAGTTCTTGTTGATGGATTCCATAATGAGTTTGTCACACTCTGGCTCCATCCATGTGGTCACGAACGAAGCAAGATTCAGCCTCGGGTTACCATCAAGCATAAGCTCGTCTTTGATGATCTGATACGCAGCATCCTTTGGTATCGAACTCTCACCAATCTCATACCTATTTTTAATCAACTTTATTTCATCAATAATCAACAAAATCCCCATTAACAATAAGAAAAAGAAAATAATGTGTTTCTTAATTACTTGGGAAGTGCAGCGCGAACATAGCGAGATCCGAACGTGGAGCAAACATTCTCATTACTTTCCGTGGCTGTTCGACTCAGAACCATCTTTTCTTTTTGGTAATGAGAAAGGAGAAGAGAGGAGAAGCTACAATGTAAAGAGACGAGGATACGTTTATATTGACCCTACATTTGCTGTCTTTATTCCTCTTTTGTTTTATTTTTTATTTAATATAATTTATGTATTTGTATTTTTAATTTTAAGTCGACAACGATATTCACATGTAAAATTATCTACAAGAAAATGATACTCATTCGATAATTACATTACCTATACAGCTATACCCATACTGTCATACATGCTCGTACGAAGGTCATATGTTGTAATATTTGAAAGAAAATAAAATTATACCCATTCAATTACTTTTATACCACTATTAGATTTTTTTTCACAAATCACAACTATTACCATTATAATTTGTTTTGGTAACGTAAACACCATTATAATTGGTTTTGGTAATGTAATTTTAGCAAGCAAATAATCTTTTTTTTTGGGTATAAAATCAAAATACACACAACTTATTATGGAAAATGATACAGTATATACCAAAAATTAGTAGTTTGACTAAAATTGTAATCAACACTTAATTGAAAAAGGTTTAAGGTGAAATTCGAGGAAAATAAAACTACTGTGTAAATACAAATTAGAGCATCAGTATACATAGTATTTCAATGGGTTTTAAGAAAATAAAAAAATAAACAAAGAATAATAATATAATAATATAATATAAATACGGGAGTTCAAGATCTTTTTACGAAATACAACATATAGGAAACGTAATCTCCTGGATGGCCGAATTCTCTGTGTCTGTCTCCACAGGAGAAATGCATTGTATGCTGGTCTTTATGTCCAGGACCTAAAACCACAAACAAACAAATGAGGCAGCCCTCACGAGAAATAAGAATGGGATTCTTGCCGAACATTTTCCATGCTCAACTCAGACATGTACAATTAGGAAGAAGTAATCGAAAAGGATTTTAAATAGACTGAGTGTTAGAGGGAAAATGAGCACATTTTTTAAAAGGCCTTCTCCGCAATAACCTAAGCCCATCAAGACCAAGAAGACCGCGCCGACCTAGCTCGGATTTAAGGAAATCTCTTAAGGATAACCTTTGAAGACCGGAACCATCAGATTAATTCAAAGGATAAAAGAGAATTTCCTTACTCCTCGGAAAATAAATATGGAAATATATGCAAAGACAAAAAGGAAAAGGAGTTCAGAGCAACCGACCTCCCATCCCTATAAATAGAGAGAACCTCGAAGCCAAAAGGATCATCTAATACATTCTAGAGAGCAATAGAGCTAAAACCAGAGACTCCAACGCATTCTAGTCTACTTCGCAAACACCTTTTTCACTTCGGCATAACCTCACAGTTATCCCTTTCCTTGTAATCGCTTCTCTTATTACTCTTAATAAAAAGACTTTATTCTCTGAAACCCACAACTGTTAATCAAACTCTAGTGGTGATTTTCTGGTTCAACAATTGACGCCGTCTGTGGGGACTAGGAGAATAACTTCTTAAAAACCAAATAAGAAAGCCGAAGCAATGAGCCTCCCCGTCGACAACAGCGATCTCATCCGCAACAACGATGACACCACTCACACTGAGACGTCTACTCTCGGTGAACGTACGAACATCACTACCGCGAATCCACCTGCGGGAGCACCCCAGCTCCCCTCCAGGCCGCTGACCTCGCAGCAGCCATCTATGCCGCCATGCAGCCACTCACGCAGGATTTGGTGTCCAAACTAGACACCCTCCAGGCCCAGCAAGCCAAATACGACAAAGCAACTCAGCGCCTTCGCAGCCGCGACCACCGCGAGATCAGAGCCGATCGGGCGACGTTTAATCTTTGAAACACCAGAGCAAAACAACATCATGAGTACAGCAGCTGACGATGAGGAGCCGTCTGGCGAACTAAATTCCGAGATCGCAAGGCTTCACCAACGAATCAACGCGATCGGATCCCAAGTCCATCGAGCCACCAGCTCGGCACCCAAGATCTCAGCCATTCTCTCGGATGCAGAATGCAATCCATTCGCCCCGCAGATCACCGACGTACGACTCGGCGAGGCAATAAAACTGAAGCTCCCATACTACAACGGGATGGAGGATCCCAGCCTATGGCTGACCGGATTTAACGTTGCCATGAAGAGGCAATGATTCGAGACCGAACTCGAACGTGAAGCCAACCACTGCCAAACCTTTGTTGAACACCTCAACAAGGACGCTTTGAAGTGGTTCTCTAACTTACCCCCAGCCTCGATCAAATCCTTCAAGGATCTGACTCATGTCTTCATCAAACATTACTCCATGTTCATCACAAAGAGGACAGTCAACCTGTTCACTCTAGTGCAAGAACGCGACCAACCACTCTGCGACTTCATCGAAAAATTCAAGAACGCCGCCGCGGCATACAGGCAAATCCCGCAAGCTTTAGCCATCGAGGCACTCATGAATGGGCTATGGTACGAATCTTCTTTTAAGGAAGATATGCAAAAACACCCGAAGGAAACCATAGAAGACGCACTCCATCGGGCCCCGACTTTCATACGGATGGAGGAGGAAAAGAAGTTCTACGCTAAGAAACACAGCATAAACACGGAAAACACTTCGAAAGAAAAGGAGCCCGCGAGCAAAAGCAAGCCCTCCTCTCACGCTGTCGTATCAACCACAGAGTAGCCCTGGAATCAGTGGACCATAGGAGACTCCTCAAGGAGCACAAGCGATAGAGATGATAATCACGACCTCTACTGCTCCTTTCACAGACGAACAGGACACGCTACTTCGGTATGTCGACACCTCCAAAACACCCTGTATGAACAATACAAAGAAGGAAAAATCAACATCGGAGGCGATCGATCCCGGAGTAAAAGCTCCTATTCACGCAGTTCAAACCCGAGGGACTCGCGTTCGGCCATTTCCACTCGGGATCGCAGGGATCCAGAAAAAAGCAGCAGTCGAGCCAGTTCTGGAGGAAGGTGCTGAAGTCGCACGCCCGAAAGAAGGCACAAAGAAAAGGAAAAGGAGAAAGGAGCAGAGCGTCAGAACGACGAAGGAGAACACGAAAATCCGCCCCCTCCACCAAAGCGACGAGTTAACATGATCATGGGAGGACTCCCCGACTGCGATGACTCAGTCTGTGCCATCAAAGAATATGGACGTAAGGCAGTCGCATCGCGAAAATTCCATCGCCCCGTGGCTTATCATCCCACGATCACCTTCACATCGGAGGATATGCATGGGTTAAATACCCCGCATAACGACCCACTAGTGGTCGAACTACATATCTACGACAGCGAAGTGACCAAAATCTTGGTGGACACCGGCAGCACGGTCAACATCATCTTTAAAGATACATTGACTAACATGGGATTCCAAGACAAAGACATCAAGGCAGCACCAAAGCCTTTAACTGGCTTTGCCAGTGAATCCTTCTTCAGCCTGGGCACCATACGACTCACGGTCTATGTCGGTGGAGTGATAAAAATTGTTAAATTTACGGTAATGGACAAACCAGCAATTTACAATGCCATACTTGGCACACCTTGGATCCACGAGATGAAAGCAATCGTGTCGACTTATCACCAATGTATGAAATTCGTCACTTTGGCCAGAGTTTTTACACTTTGCGGGTATCAGTAGATGGCGAGATCTTGCTTCATCAGCGACCGCAAAGTGCGACTCTCCACGGCAAAAGCACTCGAGGACGCTAAATAAGTGAGAAAGATTCGACAACAAATCTTAGCTATTTTTTTTTCCTCTCTTTTCAATAAAACCGGGCTTAGCCCCTGAGTGATATCACTCATTCCTTACTTGTAATGAACTACGAACGGCTTGATCCCGATTCGGGTACGTAGGTAACCTTCGGGTGCAGCTGTAAATCTAATAAATTTATATTTCAGAAAATCAGCTCGGCGTATAGAGTCACGTTTTTTTATGCGAATGCATTTTGCTGAGTTGATGTTATGGCCAAACATTTGATTCAAAGAAAAGCAAGCACAAAAAAAATATTAAGTGGCTGATCACCACTCATTTGATACTTCGGTTTGATTTAAATACTTCAGAAGTGGATAAGAAAAAAGGCGAGAATAATACTCGCAAGACCCTCGATCATACCTTTCAAGCCAAAGTGAATCCTGAAAAATTGGTATCCGATCTTGATCGTCGTTTGGTGTAAGACGGGCAAAGGAATTCTGCTTCCAGTTCCGAACTAAAAAGTTCTATCATACATAAACAAAAAAATGCAAAACGATAAAGAGCGATTAAAGGACCTTTTTCATAAAAAGAGAGGAAATAATAAGCCATCTTAGGCAAAAATTCTTACAAAAAGAATAATAAAAAATATATAATAAAAAACCGTCGGGCTTATCTTCACGGACCGTCAATCTCTGATCTGCTTGGAAGATTAAGGTCATCGCTCGTGACGACTATCTCATCAATGGCATCACTGGCCGCGTTCCACTTAGCAAACTCCCTCTCGAAAGACGGAAGGGTCCCGGCAGGAAGCTTCCACCCTTTCTCCTGCATCTTCTTCAAGAAAGCCACCATATGGCTACTTTTCTCCACATCGACGAGGGCTGGTTCCACCTCTTCGCGCTGAACTAGCGAGGCTTGAATCCGATTTAAATGCGGTTTAAACCAAGCAGTCATATCATTAAAAACTCTATCGGCGGCATCTCGAGCGGCTTCCTCGCAGGCCTTCTGAAGCTTCTCCTTCTCGGCAAGAAATCCCTGCAAGTTCTCTTTATTCTGCTTTTCGAGAAGCTCGTTTTGAGCTTGGAGAGCGGCGACCTGCTTGCGAAGTCGATTAGCTTCAGACACCTCGCCTTTAAAAACACCAACAGCGCCCTCCAGGTGAGTGCACCTTTCCTTGAGAAGTCGATTCTCTTCTTCCGCCTTTTTAAGCTCCTTGATCTCGGAACACGCCGCGTTCACCATCGCTTCTTCCTCGCACCAGTTATCATCATACGCAGCAAAGGCGGACATATACGCTCCCAAATCCTGTACCACGACCTGCTATTAGAAAACACAAAAAAAAACAAAAACAAGAAAAAGGTGGATAGCGCAATCATCGGATGAATAAAAATTACCTGAGCTATCAATTGGCTCACCGAGGAGATCGAATCCACCAGCTTCAATTTGCGAAGTGGCTTACCCCATCGCGGTTTCTTCCTGCACTTCCAGATCAAGTTTGCGGCAAATTTACAATCAAGCATCGTCGGAGTACTCCCGTCCCATCTCGCACAAAAGTGATGAGGAT